TCAAGGGAAATTAGTCACTTACGAGTAGTAATTATTATATTCACTGAACTAAATTATTTCAAATGAAGTGAACAGTAAAGTAGACATTTAATGTGCAAGCATATTGCTTTATCAAAAGAAAAAGTTACGTCATATCCTCTTGTTAGCGCTTGAATTGCCGAAATTGATGGTTCGAAAAGTGGATTGGAACTGAGTTTGTGATATAATTTTAGCTTGGTGATTGATTTTGCCATAGCCTTCAAATATTCACGTCCAGCATATCAAATATTTGGTTGGGCTCATCACAAAACAAAAGAAATCATCAATAATGAGCTAATAATAAGAACTATTGTTTTAAAAGGAGTTTTTGGGGTGAGCCCCGGGACGAGGTGTACCAAAAACGCCCTGGGGCGATGGTGTGAGGCGAAAGTCTCAAGAGGCGTACGACCAGCAATTTGGGGCGTACGCCCAGACGTTCGGGACGTATGCCCGGGCGTTCGAGACGCGTTTTTTAGTGAGGAGTAAGCCCTAGAGACCTTTTCAAATTAAAACAAAATTTGTTGAATAAGACCTTCATATAATACCTAAATTCTCAAAAGTCGGTTTGGTAATTACTCAAACGTATTAAATTTAAAAGTTAAAATCTTTTTTTATTGATTTAAGCCCTAATTCATGGTCTTTTCCAATTTTTTATCTTGTCCGTTAGTCTGCTAATATCTCCCAAAAGCAACGAATATTTAATTTTTTTACAAATACAAAGAGAACTATATTCTCCTTCATATCAGCAAATTCAAAGTTCAAATTGGGGGTTAATCATCCTTTTTATTTTCTTCATATAGGAAACTTTATTCTTTTAGACTCAAATTACTTGTGCTTGTAAGTAGCGTATACTAGATTGTTTTGATTAATTTTGTGTGGGGATGAAACACACACATATATATAGTATTCTTCAATTTTTATGTAATTTTACTTGTTTATAAATATTTACTGCCATTATATTATTTTATAAAATATTAAAAATTAAAAACCTATGGAGCTTACTCCCCGTGTCTCGAGATTTATGCCCCGTTAAGACATATGTAAAACGTCTCGCCTTACGTCTACGCCTTTTAAAACACTGATAAGAACTATGATATCCACTTAAATTCTTAAGTAAGCAATATACATAAAAGATAATTAACGCTTAGAATACATTAAAGATATGCACATACTGTTTATAATGTAAATTGAGGAAGCTCACGACATTCTATTTGTTGTATATATCGTTCCATCGCCGTGTTCCTGCTCCGAGTTGATCACCTCGGGGCAATCTTTATATTGGCAGTTACCCTCTTATAAAAGTAACAAGCGTCCAAATACACAGTCTCATGCTTGTGAATTTATTGCTTGACGTTAAAAAAGCTATTTCTGACATGTGGAAACGATTATAATTGTGCCATGTAATACATGTAGAAAGGGTTTCAAATAACATGTTAAAACTTTGCTCTTGATATACTCTTAATTTTGAAAAGGATTGGGTGACTGCTTATTTTTAAGTCTCGACCTCCTACTATGCTCTTCCTTCCGACTTCCTTGTGTGTATAGTCCTAGATCAATTTTCGAGCATATCGATCACTTTTTGATCGTCTGGAGATCACAGTATTGAGTTACAAGCTTGCCGCAATAAGCAAGGTATAGTTCAATCTTTCGGCAATTTCTCAATACTAACAACAATATTTTTAAAGAGTCAGTTGTGTTCGAGTCAAGTATGCATATTGACTATTTCATATGGTATCTTGTAATTCTCACCACCACCACCAAATAAAAAGAAATCACCTAAAGTTTCTTGCCTCTACTAGATTTTAAATTTGAAACCTTATGGTTCTATTACCACTTTAGTGACCAATAGTAACAACACTGGTAAATCTCACATAGATCAAAATGAGCTAACTTAAATGAGCAAGTAAATTCAGAAAATTAGATGATTGGACAAAAATATATAGGTTCTTAGACTAATTACTAAACATATAAATACTTTGCAAATACTATGTAGCTATGCGGACATGTGACTTTATTATTTCTTTTAAGGATAATACAATAGCACGTATAATGCCCCTAACAAATTTATTGTACCTCCCTAGAATGTATATAATCTTATCTACAGTTTATGATTTAACACAAGTAATTCCTAAAAATTTATGATAGCTCCTGATACACCCTAAATGTAGCTACAAATTGTTGGGTTTTTTTAATCTAATTTAAATAAAGAGGTGTGAATGGAAAAAGATTTGGAGAAAAATGAAAAGTTTGAAGAATTCCTTTTGCTAATGCACTTTATCACTCATCGCACATCTTCTAGCTCTTAAAGAGTTGAGAAGAAGTGGTGTCTCGCGCCGTCGTCGACGCTTGCTCGGCTTGGCTTTGGAATTGATTGATAAATTTTTTGGACCAAATTTATTTCCCGTTTTTCAGTTATTTGTTTTCTTTTCTGATATTTCAGAATATTTTAATTCAAAATTTGCGGCGGTAATTTTCTCAACGGTCAGATTTGCGCCTAACAAAAAATTAATTTATGGCGAATAGACACCTTCTCAAACGAATATGTATCTTGGCACTTGTTGAACCCCACATTGTTGGCTATAAATACAGAGGAATAGCCTCCTTTTCACCTACCAAAATTCTGAAAATCCTCCCCTTTCACTTCTGCATTATTTTTTCAAAGCATTAGTGTGATTTACTGTCGTTTGTTGGGTTCGACGAAATTCTGTTATTTCCATTGCCGACATTACATAATAGATGTTCAGTAAGGAGATTAAATTATTTAAGGAAACACAATTTTCTGTTGGGCACATAACTTTTAATTATGATATTTATATTTCTGTTTCTGTTTTATTTTGCATAAATTATTTTATAACATAGATTATAACACACATGTTATCGGTTTGGTATAAGTAATGCTACGAAACAAAAATACCACATTTTTCCGCCCTAATACCAAGTAATGCATCGACATCTGGCAAGTAATAAACTACCAGTATATTAATACTCATGAAAATATTATCAAGCCACTCTAATTTTATAGTCCCCAAAATTTGATATTTGATGCCTTTTTTTTTGGCCATGAAATAAGCATGGTTAATACCTTAAGAAGCATCCTCATGAATGTTTTTTCAAGAGTATTATATGCAAGGTAAATAATAGCTTCACCGGATATACACCAGATGAGTGGAAGAGATGGTGGTGTACCTGTTTGACCAAAAAGCGTAAACTCTTGATTAAACTAATTAATTTTATGTAACGAGGGGTTAAACTTAGTTAGTAATAATAATCTCAGATCTATAATCGGTTAACACAAATAACGTAGAACAATGTTGGTAGGAGATTAAATGTTAAATGTTTCAAGATGATTAATGACAAGAGAATATTGAGCAATAAATAACAATAAATGACATTAAAGTAAATAAGAAAAATAATTCACCCAATATTGAATGGGGTGGATGATTCCTCCTTCTGACAATGATGAGTGATAGATAAATACTAGGATATTGAAACTATTCTCGGATCTGATGGAAAAGTGTAGAATAATAGACAATCGAATCTCTTTAGAAATATAGTGTTTGTATTTTATTTAGGGAGAAAGTCTTCTTTTCAAAGAGTGTTCTTATAAGAGAATATTGCATGTCTTTCACCTTATCTCATTTTCTATTTATATGAGACATATCCCTAGTTAACCCTAAAAGTATAAGTACATAGAATATTCAGTGGGATATTCTCCTAAAGATCCTATTGCAAAACTAGCCGTTGCTACTGCCCCTAATACTTGACCTCGGCCGTTATTGACTGCTCGACTTTGAGCCTTGCCGTTTACTAATCGATCTCAGCCAATTTACTTTTCGTAATACCACTTCATGTCGAATTTTCTTGAGGCAGATTTTGACCTATATAGTACCATATGAGAATATACATAAGTTGATAGTTTAACTCGACGTTCATGACATACCTAAGTGAATGTTAGACTCTAGTACATGTAATTGGAAAGTAAGGAATTTTCTAAATATTATATTTAAATTATATATCCGATTTTTGAAGGGCGTTCAGTTGATCATTTTTCAACAATTGTAGCGACGCAATGTCATTTTTTAAACCAAAGCCAACAAACTCAAGAAGGGAAAATTACTTGCAAAAAACTCCCAATAAAAATAAATAATTAAGATGATAACGAGATAAAAGAGAGAAACGACAATAGAGAGATGTGGAGAGAAAGACGAAGAGGAAGAGAGAAGAGAGGGTAAACATCTTTATAGAAAAAATGGATAAATAATAAAACGTGACAAGGGATTTTAGTAGTTTTGACTCCGATATTACTTGGAAAAATTCTATTATTTTCCAACATGGTGGTATCGTATTTGCGATTGACAAACACACTCCATGATCACCAAGACTAATAGCCTATTTGACCAAGCTTCTTTTGAGGCAAAAATATTTTTCTTTTGGTCAAACGTGTTTTTTTCTTCTAAAATTAAGGTGTTTGACCAAGATTTTGAAAGGAAAAAAAGTGATTTTGAGGAGAAGCAGAAGCAGTTTTGGAGAAAAGAAAAAAACAGCTTCTTTCCAAAAGCATTTTTTTGAAAAACATTTTTGAGAAAAATAACTTAGAAGCAGTTTTTCAAAACTCGGCCAAACACTAATTGCAGCTCAAAAATGTTTTCCAAATTAATTAGTCAAACACAAATTGCTTTCACCAAAAAATATTTTTGGAAAAAAAATACTTATCAAAATAAGCTGATTTTTGCAGCTTAGTCAAACGAGCTATAAATCTCTTAAAGTAGTTTGTTTGAACAATTAGAGGTGTGTAGATGAAAATTCATAGTAGAGTAGGGGTCAGGAATAGAATTTTCTGCAACTACAGGAGTCTATTTGATGCAAAGTTTATATGGGCCTGCTGATAATTGGGTTGTAGCGTCATTTAATAGCCCAGGTTCTCTAATCCATCTTACCAAGCCCAACATACTTTGTATATAGCCCATAAAATTTTCAGTTATATAGCACTGAACTAACTCACCATTCGTCACTCGAACGGCGCTCACAAACCCTAATTAGGGTTTTCTCCTACAGGTACCTCTTCCTCCCTCTCACAAACGCATTCACCATTTGTACGGTCTTAAACTTTAATCTAAAGATTAATGTTGCAAGTGTTTTGTTTGGCTGCCTAAAATACATTGAAAATATCGCTAATTTCTAGCTGGAATACTGATTTTTTAATCTTATTTGATTGGCACCAGTGAATTTAGAAGGTAAAAGAGAAGTGCTTGAGACATGAGGTAATTTTTAATCTTATTTGCTGGCTACTTAATAAATTATTGCTAAGAACGTTAATGAAGTAGTTGATTTTTGTTTTTATTGTTATGTCTTGTTGAGTATTTTGCGTTAAATTAGTTGAATTTTAATTTTGCTACAGTAAGCTTCAGAGTGATGCCCTAAGAGAAGCAATCTCTGTAATTAAGAATGATTGCAATGAAAAGAAGAGGAAGTTCACAGAGACAATTGAGCTCCAGATTGGGCTTAAGAACTATGATCCCCAAAAGGACAAGCGTTTCAGTGGATCTGTGAAACTGCCTCACATTCCTCGTCCTAAGATGAAGATTTGCATGCTCGGAGATGCTCAACATGTGGAGGAGGTAATCCTCCTTTTCGCGTTAATTAATGGCTACATCTAAGCTTGATTTGATTCTTTTTTACCTCGTAAGTATTTGGTAACAAAAGCTTGGTATTTAAGTGGAAAAGGGTAGGGTGGTGGGCACATTATCCATTGAGTTCTCAGTTATAAAAATAAAGTATTTGAGTGGTGTTTATGCTACTTCTGAGTGGGTTTCCCTTGATGCCCTTGATATCATCATTTCTTTTTAGCATACAAGATGAGATTCATATATAGACTGATGAGTTTCTGTGTCAATTACTTATCAAGCTGTTCATATTGTTATTACTTGGAAAAATTATTTTGAGAATGCGTTGATTGTATTATTGCCAATTGGGTCTTCATATTTTGTAGTATGAGGTGAAAATTTAAAATTTCATGCATGGTTCTGTATTTGTGATGGTCATGGTGATGTTATCATCAGTCATGATTGCCTAACAGTTCAAGAGCAGTTAAAAAGAGTGGAATCACAGTCAAAATGTGGCTTTCACAGGGTTGGATGTTTTTCTCTAGCTTTGTTTGTTAGCTTGTCTTTCTAACTTGGTTTCTGCGTGTTCTCTTCTAGTCTGTGATACATTTGCTGGTGTAGAAATGTAATTGCATGATTGCATCACAACTTAAAATGCAATGGCATCTGAAGTCCCATTAGTTGCAAGGGTAAATCTGCTTGTTGCTTCTGCAAGTTTTGTGAGACTGCTGATTAGTAGGATGTCAATTTTTAGCCTTATGATGTTGATTTTGTATTTTTGGATTTGATGGTAAATTCTGTGAGTACTAATTATAGAAAATTATAAATGCTACTGTTAGATGAATTGTACTTGAACTGTTAGTTTTTTTAGGGAGATAATCTCAACTTTCCACACTTGTTTGCAGGCCGAAAAGATCGGGTTGGAGTACATGGATGTGGAAAGCCTCAAGAAGCTTAATAAGAACAAGAAGCTAGTTAAGAAGCTTGCCAAGAAGTACCATGCTTTCTTGGCCTCGGAATCTGTCATCAAGCAGATTCCTCGTCTCTTGGGTCCCGGTCTGAACAAGGCTGGCAAGTACTTTAACTCTCTAAATTTTGTTCTTTCTTGAGGTGGTTTGCTATTGATCAAGCCCCTGTTTAAGATCTCTTACCTGGTTCCTTGTGAATGCAGGTAAATTTCCTAGCCTTGTTTCCCACCAGGAGTCACTTGAGTCTAAGGTTAATGAAACCAAGGCTACAATTAAGTTCCAATTGAAGAAGGTGCTTTGCATGGGTGTTGCTGTTGGAAATCTTGATATGGAGGAGAAACAAATATTCCAGAATGTGCAAATGAGTGTGAACTTCCTTGTCTCATTGCTAAAGAAGAATTGGCAAAATGTAAGTCCATTTCACAACTCAGTTTAGACATCTGCATTTACCTTTGAATTATTGTCTGATGCAGATTGCTGTGTTTTCTTTTATTGACCGGTTTAATTGTTTTTCACAACAGGTGAGGTGCTTGTACTTGAAGAGCACAATGGGGAAGACACAGCGCGTCTTTTAAGATGGTTGTCTAAATGTTGCAACTTTTTGGGCATTTTGCTTGTAAGAGTTACTGATGAAAATTTTGAATAGTCTATCATCCTGGATAATGGTTTTAATGTAATATCATTATAGGGATTGTTTTGCCAGACATTTCCTTTTTAAGAGATGTTAGTAATGTTAATTTTTCTCTTATTTTTATGAACGAGGATTTCTTTTGCATGATGATCTCTATTCACTATGTTTAGTAGTATTTCTTTTGGTTTATTCCTGAGAAAGCCAATTAGCAGAGCAAGAGCGTCTCACAAACAATGACGCATACTTGCATTGAAGGTTGGCAATTTTTACGAATTAGCGATTCTCCGTGCCTTTCAAAATCATCTTGTGTTGACTATGGCCTCGAACAAGTCGCTACATTTCTTCCACGTCTCATACTTGTCTTATTTTTGCTGCAATTACTATAACTAATCAGTATTAGAAAAAAATAGTTCCTCTTTTCCAGTGATAAAGAAGTTTACCAACTAGGCTTATTGCTGGAGCCTCCTAAACTTCCTATGAAAGTTGTGCCAATGGTAAGACTATTGTTCGTGGTGCTAGATTTTTATAATATTGTATTTTTTTCATCAAGCTGAGGTCCATCTGTTTAGGAAGTGAATTTGTGATTGAAAACACCCGTGTTGTGTAGTCGAAACTAGAAGTGCATCCTCATTTTTTCTTATCTAACACGAAACACGGAGTTCATGTAAATAGCACGAGCTAGCCAGATTTTGGATTGGTCATGGAAAAATAGCCTCTATTTGCAAAGTCATTGAAAAATAGTCATTATTTTGTTGCAACACTGAAAATTCCAGCATAATATACTGGAGATTGGTGCACCTGTGTATGAATTTCCAACATATTATGTTGGAACTCCAGCACACGAAAAGTTTCAGCATAATATACTGTAGATTGGAGCATATGTGTATGGATTTCCAACATATTATAGTGGACCAGTATATTATGCAGGAAGTTCACATGTAAAAAATTCGAATTCCAGTATATTATGCTGGAATATTTTTCGGATTTTGAACAGTGTTTTCGTTCAGATTTATTTTTACATGAAAAGTGGCTAAATTTTGATTACTTTTGAAACTGTAGCTATTTTTCAATTACCACTTGTAAATCTGACTATTTTTGAATTTCGCCCGACGTAGCAACTTAACAAATCATACGAAACTTCTATTCAAACTGCTGGCCTTTTTCTTCCCAAAGTTATGTGAAACTGTATTATTTTCGATTCAGCTAATTTTCAGAATGTGCACAAATCACAGCTCAATAGTTTTCTGGTTGTGCAGTTTGGTTCAACAGCTAAGTCTGCAGTAGTTTTTTGCTTAAACTAGGACTCTTTGCGGTTTTTGCTTTTTTTCACTCTTTAATTTTTCAGGAGGAGGAGGCTAGTGTATGATTTGCTGTTCATTTTTAGCGTTTGGCCAAATGTGCAAAACTTTCAAAAAATTAAGGATGTTTCTTGTTAGTCTAGACATCAATGATGCACTTGAACTTTTGGGTACATACATTATACAGCAGGGATGTGTCGACAAAATAAAAGACATTTATAGTTAGAAGAATAGGAGAGAAGTATACTTCTCAGCTGCTATGTTAGAGCTCTTTTGTCCTGGTTACTGAAAACTAAAACTGCAAACTTTTCCAATAAATGTTTTTTAACCAGCAAATTTCCTCGTTTGGGATTGCTGGTTCTCCATTTGCACCCCATATTAGCACCTCCTCCCTCCAAGAAAAAGGGAAAAAAAGAAGAAGAAGAAATGCGAGGTAATCCCTTTCATCTTTAAGTATGTTCAGGTGGCATAAATCTAAATCTTGATTGAATAAATTAATCCTACGGTCAAATATTTATACCCCCTAAGCCAAAGATTGGGTAACTTTTACAGAAGTAGTGATATATGAAAATAATCAAAGAGATGTAACCCATTTCAATAATAATTTTAAGCATAAATTGACATGTTCGATTGCAAAAATGAACCAATTACTTTTTAATTCTCCAAGAGTAAAAATGGCAAAATTGTTCTTGTTTTAGGTGCGCCAGAATTTGGCCCTTAAGCTTAGGCAATAGAGAAGTTAGGCAGCTCCTAGTGGGTATGAAAGAACACATGACCCTACCATTAGTCACTAATTGGGTTTAATAGTAATTGAAGTTCAACTGCTTATTTTTTTATTATTGGCAACTGCTTATTTTTTATTATTGGCTTAAGGTGAACTCAAGCAGCACACTTGTTTTGATTGCCAAAACTAACTCAGTCCCAACAACATTATCTAATTATGATAATTTGTTCTTTCCATTTTAAACAAGGAATACAGAGTATGTACTTATGTAACAACATACTATTAAATTTTTAAAAAATATTAAGTTTAAACTCATTATTCTAGAAGTGCAACAAGTTTAATGATAATATTTTTAAGGTCGAATCTATTAAATTCAAATTTTATATTTGCCCCCAGGTGCAATTTAACCTATTATAGCATGATCATATACCGTTTTTATCATGTTATTAATTTATATTTATCATAAAAGATTTCTTCTAATTTTTATATGTAGCATGATTGTATAAATATTTTTACACGACAATATGTAAAAGTCTAACTCTTAAAAATACAAGGGAAAATCATGTGATTTTCACGTTACTCAAACACTGAGTTGTTGGTACCTCTTTGTACTCTCTTTTGTTTGTGATTGTGCATGTTTTTTTCATGAGCCTTTGGGAGAGATTCTTTTTACTAAAAATTTTTGTTACTTTCTGGGCATATTCCTCAACAGGACTCATTGCAAAAGCCATATTCTCTATTTTTTTTATTAATTTTTTTTTGGTTTGTAATAGCAATATTAACTTGATCCGTGAGATTTGACTTGGACTTAACTTAGTTTATTTAAAATTTTCTGCCCTTTCTCTGTATCAAAATTATATTGTCAAAAGCTCGCAATCATGTATTTCAAGATTTTAACTTCTTGAGTCCAATGATCCAAAGTTGAAAGGAGAAAAAATAATTAGAGCAATAAGTTAGAAATAATAAAAAAAAAAGACGCTTTTGTGTTACTAGTAAAACATTAGTTTATATAGCTTGAAGCCTTGAACTATGTAAGTTTTTTTTCTTTTCCTCATTTATTTTCCTTTTTTCCCTCAATTTGTTTTCAGTATGGAAATCTAATTTAATTCGTTACGTTGCTTTAAGTGAAGCATACAAAAATGACAATATAAAAAGTTGTTCGAAAGAAAATAATGATTTGTTGGTGTACCTAATTCTTTTTTTAGAAAAAAATAGTGCATATACGAGAGTAAACACTTACAATTCAGCCATGCCGGCCAGTAAAACTGTAAAAGTGAAAGTGGCTAATATTTGGGGTCGTTTGGCTTAAAGTTAGGATATTCTCGAATTATAATTTTGGGATTATAATTTGAATAATAAATTCACTTTTAATATAAAATAATTAATACCAAGATTCTGGTATAACAATAATATTAGATTTAGCTATACCTCTAATAAAATATGAGATAAATTTAATCCCAAAATTTATATTGGGATAACTCACCTAATCCTTTGACCCAAACCATCCCTTAAGATTTCCAATAGCTAACATTTTATTTCCCTTCTGTACAAAAATAAAAATATTACAGCTCGGTAGCATTTATAGCATGTACAATTCTTCCTTATTTTCTGTTTTAATTTTATAATTCATAGGAGGTAGGGTAGGAAAAAGGCAAATACAGAAAGGAATTACAAGGTGAAAATAGAACTAAAATCAACATCCTTTTCTTTTTTAAGAAATATTGCATAAATTTTTTTCTCTGTACTAAATTTGAACAATAACCTCTCATAGTCTATTTTAACTTCATTGATCATTATGCCATTTCTAACCTATTTCTTTAAGTGCGGTATTTTCTTAAATATCTGGAGTTTGATATGTTGGATAGTTGGAGCATAGAGATAACAATGCAAAGTATTATGTTTATTGCATAGTATAATTCTTTGCAACCTTTGTAAATTATTAATTATTAAAAGTTGTGGTGAAGTAATAAATACTCTTTCATTCTTAATCAAATGTTTCGACTATGAGCTTTGGATATTAAGTCGTTGATAGGGTGCTTTTACCTCTAAAGTAGACTTTTCGACGGGAATTCGCATTAATCAGATCCCAATGCGGAAATCGAATATTGGGTAGGAAAAAATTTCTACAGAAAAACATACCGAAGCCAAGTTGTCCTAAAGCGAGTCAACAATATCATAATTTTAATACATGAATAAGCATGTATAAATACAGAATTGCCCTTTCAAAAAAGCAATTCAAATCCTTTCTAAAAAATGTGGAAGGTATTTTTGCAAACAAATAATATTTAAAAATAATATGCAATGAATATTATTAACAGTATAGGAAATAATTCCCACATAACAAAGTCCAATATTACTAGTCTTAACATTACTAATATCTTATTCAATACTACTCTTATACACTCTACCGAACGCTCCCATAGGGGTCGTTTAGTTTGAATACGGCTTATGACGGGATACGTTATGCTGAGATTAGTTATTCTGATATTATTTTTTTATCCACTGTTTGGTATGTTATATTAAAAATGACAATTGTATAATTTATGAGAAGAATGTATAAGTTATTCCGGCACTAATTATCCCACTCTCTGCAAGGTATAAATTATTCCGACACTAATTTTAATCTCGAAATAACTTATAACATATTGGCTAACCAAACAAAATATTAAGATGATATTAAATTTTTATACCAGCACTATACCTTCTTATACCTCGTAACAAACGACCACTTAAAGTATTATTTTCGTGCATAATGAAAAGGTTCAAAATGCATCAGGGTCAAATAGTTCATTTTGGGTTTGGCAACGAAAAAGAAAAAAGAGAAACCAATGGGCGATAGGTTTTTAGGGTACGTATCCTTTTTTATGTTATATGTTATATACTCCTATTTGATACCAACTTTGCCAAATACTGTCACTCTTCGGCTCTCAACAAATCTCAAAAGCCCTTTACCTTTTTCTGCTTTTTCTCCCTCGAGAACTCCGCTTACTTTCGTTTACTTGTTTCACCCCCAGATCAGCAGCCAACCCCCACATCTTCTATCGGTAAAATTTACTCATCTCTCCTTCCCTTTTAAAAGATTCTTGTGTTTTTGTTCTAAGAATCTACTTTTTTCCCATGTGCATGTGATTTTCCTCTGTTTGAGATGTCTGTTTCTCTTTCTTTTTGGTCCATTATTTGGCGAAATCCTTGTGGTATTTGGTTAAAGGTTGAAACTTTAAGAAAAAATTGGATTTGGGTATTTGAAGCCTTTTGAACTTCTTAAAAAAGATTCGTGGGTTTTTGTTGTGAGAATTTACTTATTTGATTCGTCATGTGCATGTTTTTTCACGTATGTGTTTGAGTTTTTAGGAATTGGATTTTTCCTGTTTTTGTTACTGCTTGTTGAGATCTCCTATTTTTGTTCCATCATCTTGTGAAATTCAATGATATCTGTTTAAAGATTGAATCTTTAAGAAAGGTTGGATTTTGGGTATTTGAAACCTTTTGGGATTCTTTGATTTTTATTTTGCTTTTGCTTTCTTGTGAGCTTGATTCAAGGTCAAACAGCATAACTTGTAGCCGTTTGACATGCAGATGGAAAATGACTTTTGAACCTCTTTTTGTTGGTGTATATGTTTGTTGCTATGCATAATTATGTAACTAAATTAGTGAAAGAGATTGTTTTTTCTTTATTGCAATTCTCTGTTTTGTATTCTCTTTTTTCTCTTTGGTTTGTTCTGCTTTGTCAAAATATAAATGCAGGAACATCTTGGTGAAAACTGAGTTATGTGAATACTCTGGTTGTGAATCACAAGTGTGGATTCTAGCTAATTATATGTTACTTATTGGAAAAGCTTAGCTCTATACTTGGTATTACAGATTTGGTGCTTTTGATTGTATTTTTAGTTAAAGCTTGAAAATAGGACTACACCAACAATAATAAACCCAGTGTAATCCCATAAGGTAGTGTGTACGTATACCTTAACCATACCTTGAGAAGGTAGAGAGACTGTTTTTGATAGACCATCGGCTCAAGGAAAGATGGAAAAAGAGTAGTATTAATAGGTTGTAATAACAACAAGATAGCAAGAAAACCGAAATGAAAGAAATAGCAGGTAGTAATAGAAATCTAAAATTAAGAAAGTACAAAACTAACACTAATACTATTGGAACGGACTAGGAAAACTCACGACTATATACTAACTGTGTACCCTACTACTCGACCTACACACCCTCCTATCAAACGTCATGTCTTCGGTAAGCTGAAACAACGCCATGTCCTGCCTAATCACCTCTCCATAATACTTTTTTGTTTTACCTCTACCTCTTCTTTGACCCACCAAGGCCAACTTCTCATACCTCCTTACTGGAGCATCAATGTCTCTCCTCTTCACATGGCCGAACCGTCTAAGCTTCGCTTCCTGCATCTTGTCCTCCATTGATGCCATGCCCACCTTGTCTTGTATATCTTCATTCCTAATCTTATCTATGCGGGTATGCACATCCATCTCAACATACTCATTTTTGCCACCTTCATCTTCTGGACATGGGAGGAGACTAAATACATGAAACTTGACTTCAGGATAGTATTTGAGATTCTCTTATATCAAATTTGATTTAGTGGATGGAGATAGAAGGGTACTCTTTTGTGTCGGATAATTCATAGAGAACGACTATTCCTGTAGAGAGTAGATAGCTTTATGATATATAGGAATTTACTAATCGCGTCCAAGTCTAATTTTGAGAGAAGCAGCCTGAAGTTGGGAACATCTAGATTTAGAATTGAACAAAAAAATGAAAAAAAAAAAACACATGCTTTACACTGGTTAACCTCGCCGAAGTGTTTAGAAGGATATTAATATGGTGACTAAGCAAAGGTGTTGTTTATTCATTCATTTATGTGTAATGTGCATCTTATTCCTTAGATCCATAGTCATAACCTTGACATTGTAAAGGGAATTAGGTTTAACACTTAGTGTAGAATCGTAGATTACTATGCTAGTAAATTTTATCTCCACAACATGGAGCTTCGAGTGAAGAGCATGAAGCCACTCGCTTGTTTCTTCTCATAATGCTCCAGATATTCAAAGCCTTGTCTTTTAAGAAATGGACTATCAAATTTTCATTTCTTTTTTCCATCTACGGCAGGGCATATATCGTTCAAATGTCTAATTCATTCCTTACCCTGTTTGGCTTGTAGCAAGTCCTCCTTTGCTGCTATTCTTACACCAAAAGTTTTATGTAGATGTGGTTTAATACATAGCTTTAAGTAGCAACATATATAAACATTTCTGCATATAGATAATGAACTTTTCCTCCCAGTACTGTCTTAGAAAAGAAATTTTAATTAATCAGAACAACTGAAATGGACTTGTTAGAATCTGTCCGGGATAGGTAAATGAAAGTTTTGAGCTCGATTCGTTTTACATTTGGCACTTCAAACTTCAATGCTTCCTATATATACTGTTATTCTGCGGGTGGTCAGCATTGGTCTATGATCACTTGTTTATTTCATGATTGCTTGTAAATTTGATCAGGTAAAACATGTCGACCGTGAGACTTCCTCCCACCTGCATGTTCAAAGCTGCTCCTCAAACTCAGAAAAAGAGCGCATTTGTTAAAATCCCATCTTCTCTGGGTTCTGTGCGGAGCATCTCGAAATCCATTGGCTTGAAAGCTGACTCTGGTTTTAGAGCATCAGCAAACGTGTACAAGGTCAAGCTGGTTTGTCCAGATGGTACAGAACATGAGTTTGAAGCACCATCTGATACATACATTCTCGATGCTGCTGAGGAAGCTGGAGTCGAACTCCCTTATTCGTGCAGGGCCGGTGCTTGCTCGACTTGTGCTGGTAAGATAGAGTCGGGCTCTGTCGATCAATCTGACGGATCTTTTCTGGACGACAATCAAATGAAAGAGGGTTATCTGCTTACGTGTGTTTCTTACCCAACCTCTGATTGTGTGATCCACACTCACAAGGAGGGTGATCTTTACTAGGTATCCGAGTTTAAGTTATGCTGATGATCTTGGTCTAAAGGTAAAGCAGCTATATAATGCTGTTGTCAGAACTATGGTTAAATCAAAAACATGTCTTGTTTCATAAAATGCTTATGTAATGCAGCCTTCTTCTAAGTGCCTACTGGTTCTGTGTTTATCCCAATCATCCCCTTACACCTTGCTAGTAATAGATTGTTTGTTCACCAGTAAAGTTTATGCTTAATAAGCGTAACTCTTCCCGTTTTGAAATATTTTATTGTGCTGCAATTTCTGGATGCAATCAGATCCATATGTTATTCTTGAAATATTTTGTTGTGGTGCAATTTGTATATGCAGTCAGATACATATGTTACTTCGTCAACGTAAAGATAATAAAAGACTAGGGTATAGCTATTTAAATTCCCGGTCGAAATCATCCAACATAAAATTGTATTTAGTACATGACAAAGGAAACCTTAACCCAGTTTAAACACGGGAAAACTACCCTCTATAGTCCCTCAAAATTTTAATAGCCTATATTTTTTATCATTGATACGAAATGGCCCTTCAGCCCAAACATATTGCATGTAGTAGCCCGAAATGTCTATTTTGTATATTTTTTGTATAGTGACAGTCTATTTTGTATATTTTTTGTATAGTGATATCTTTTTTGTATATTTTTTTTTTGTATAGTAACAATCTATTTTGTATAGTGACAATCTATTTTGTATAGTAACAGTCTATTGTATATAAATTGTATAGTGACAGTCTATTTAGTAGTATATTTTTGTATAGTGACAATCTATTTTGTATATATTTCGTATACTGACAGTCTATGTAGTATATTTTTTGTATAATGACATTCTATTTTTGTATGTATTTTGTATAATGACACTTTATTGTATATAAATTGTATAGTGACACTCTATTTTGTATAATTTTTGTATAGTTACGGTCTATTTTGTATATATTTTAACTTTATGCATAGTTATCTCCTCTTATCTTCCTCTCATTGAGAGACCAGCCACCGGGGTCTATGGCCTCACAGTCGCGGAAAATAGTAACAAGATCGGAGGAGTTTTAAATTTTCAGCCAAAGATCTTCAAAATATTAACTTCATATTCACAGAAACTATAAGAGAAAATCAGAAAGAAGACAAGGTCATGAGAGTCGTGGTTGGCGGAGTTGCTTCTTCTGTGGTCACCGGCGACTCTGTCGGATTCCGGCCATCGGCGTATAGGGTCGAGGCTATCGTCAAGATCTATCGATTCATGTGGATATTGAATGGTGGTGATGGCTGAAACTCCGTGAAGTTCAAAAGAAATAAAAAGGCATAAGGTTTCGGATTTGGGATTTTGAGAGATTGGTGAGGATTTGAAAGATTTGAATCGTAGATATGGAAAGAGGAGGAGGAAATGAGAACGGTGACATAAATTTTGTGGGGTTTGGCGGTGGTCGATGGAAGCGGGTGATGGAGCTAAGGCGATGCTGCCGTGGGGAGAGAGGGCGGCGAGAGAGGGAGAGGAGGAGAGAGAAGAGATTAGAGTTTGAGAAATGAAAGAAAACTCAGATTCAATTTGGACTATTCTGCTGCCGACGAAACAGATCTTGTGTCTAGCCACTAGAATTACTTTTGGGCTATCAAATGTATATTGTAATTTTGGGCTATCGAATGATATATATTTGGGCCGATGGGCTATAAATGAATTTTGCTCTTTAAACATTCATCCCATAAACATTTTTGTATTTATCTACGTACTTTTCTCATTCTTATGGGCCTATAATGTCCTATAGGTCCACTCGGTATGACAGTTGGGTCTAGTACTTTTCCCAGGTGGTTTGGATCTTGATTATGGGCCACTACTTGATTAAGTTAGGGCCTGATGATGTTTACTTGGTTTTTTTGAGACTGGCCCATATCTTAAAATCAATTTTGAACTTTTCAGTAAAAAGTGCACAGGGCGTCCTATTTGGTCGCCCCATTTAACCTATACTCACTTTTTAAAAATATTTTAATTTGTACCCATTTTTTAAACAACTTCAAACATCTTTCTCCTCCTCCTTCGTTTTCTTCTTCTCCTCCTTCTTCTTCTTCGGGTGACAATGATTTTATATGGTGATTGTGAACATATTTTAATGTAGTTTATGATGTTTTACAATGGGGAGCTGTTATGACTCTTTATTTTTTACTATTGCTTAAGGTTTCTTCTTCTTCTTTTTCTTAATTGCAAAATGGATTCATTAGATTTATTGTTATTTTGACAAATTGATGATTGAGGTTTGTTCCTGATGATATTTGGAGGTTATGTTTCAAATTTGAGCTCAATTGGAGTAGCTTTAGGTATTAAATCGTATATTTGATTATTATAATTCGAAGAATAAATTTATGTTTCTAGGTAATTTGCATTTCAGGCCTATTTGGCCTTAAGTGCATAAAAACGTTGGTTGTACTTCTAACCTTTTGGCCTTAAGTGCATCTGAAGTGCAATTTTTCATTTCAGACTTATTGGTCTTAAGTGTAGCAAAACGTTTATTGCACTTCAGACCTTTTAGCCTTAAGTGCATCTGAAGTGCAATTTTTCACTTCAGACTTATTGGCCTTAAGTGTAGCAACACGTTTGTTGCACTTCAGACCTTTTGGCCTTAAGTGCATCTAAAGTGGGATTTTTCACTTCAGACTTATTGGCCTTAAGTGTAGCAAAACGTTTGTTGCACTTCAAACCAATTTGGCCTTAAGTGCATCTGAAGTGTAAATTTTCACTTCAGACTTATTAGCCTTAAGTGAATGAAAACGTTTGTTGCACTTGAGACTTTTTGGCCTTAAGTGCATATGAAGTGCAATTTTTTAATTCAGACTTATTGGCCTTAAGTGTATCTGAAGTGCAATTTTTTCACTTTACGCTTATTAGCGTTAAGTGCATTAAACAATTGGTTGCATTTTAGACTTATTTGGCCTTAAGTGTATTTGAAGTGTAATTTTTTTACTTCAAAGTAATTTTTTTTAACTTCAGACCCAATAAGTCTGAAGTTGATCGTAAAGTGGGTACGCTTGCAATTTTTTTTTTTGCAAAGTGGGTATATATTCAATTGTGACCCAAAAACCGGGTATAGACGCAAAACCCCCAACTTTTCAGGGTCCAATCTTGACTACCCCAACAGACCAATAGAAATTAGACTTGCTTCCTCACTTGGCTTGCTTACTTTTGCCTAATGTAAATTACTTCTTAATTTTGACAACAACGTAAATCCCTGTGCAAAAATATATAGTTTATGAGTTTAACTAGTGACGAGCCAGAGATTTTATTTACGTAACTCTTATAAAAATAGGTTATATCAAGCTTCTGTTTCAAAGTCAAAGGAATTCAACCCTTGAATTTATCATGCATTATTATTATTTTTTTGCTTGCAATATACATGTTCAATAAGTAATTTTTTTGAGCAAGGGTATCATATGAACCCCTTGCTTCAATGTGGCTCTGCCACTAAGTTTAACTTTGTAAAGAAAATTTTACATTATTAGCCTATTCAAAAGATATTTACGGGTAACCTTTCATAAAGAGTGGAATTTGTAATCTTAAAATTAAGACAAAATTATGTGCTACAACATGTAAAGCTAACCTAGATAGTATAACTTAAACTTATAGTCTATTAGAGTACCTTAGAGCTAACAAAAGTTTTCTTCCCAACAAATAAGAGGAAGTAAGTGACTTGGAGAAGGGGGGCTTTGGAACAACTGTAAAGTTGTCTTTGTATGACCTATAGATCGCGGGCTGAAGCCGTGGAATCAACATTGATCAGGAAGGCTGCCTACATCATACCTCTTGAGTTGCGGCCCTTCCCCGTACCCTACGTGAACGCAGAATATTTCGTGTATCGGGTTGCCCTAAGTGAGATGGAATCTATATATGTCTGCGCGAGAGCAGAACTCAAAATTGTGGTACATAAAATGGTGATTATATCTTCAACTCCTTGCCTTTTCATAAAAGCTAAAGGGTATATTTTTAAGCATGGAAAACAAGAAGCACACATGCTAGAGGCTCCCAAAGACTTTAAGATTGTATTGTCTTGAAAGAAATTAAGAAATAAAGGAGAAATTGGAGCTAACTAGAATAAGAATAAAGTTCAATCTGATCCTAAAGTTTCAGATAGAAAGAGAGGCAATAGGGAGACAAAGATTTCCATAATGACTAGAGGAAGAGAATACTTTGAGAAAGGACCTTTTGTTTGGGAGAAATCTACTTAGTTAATTGTGTAAAAAGATTGTTTTAGAATAATTTAGGACTATGTTGTAATATTAAATTCTGAGTTGTGGCATCTTCATGGGGCCACTTAAGAAGACCAGACCTTATAAAAGTTTGATAAAAAGTGGAAGTTAGTGACTGGAAAGGAGAGGATTCTTGTTGTACAGGCTTCAAAGATAATGGAAAGAATATTTAATATTATTTGAAACTAAGTACACAACACATTTTTCAAAGGTTTTTATTCATGTGATGCTTGAAGAGAGCATCTAATAAGGCCATTTGGTTTTCATGAAACAGATTTTGATGATTAAAATATATTACTATGTAAGAAATAACTCGCATTGAATATTTATACCAAATGAATGAATGTAAGATATATATTTATATACGCACCCTTGAACACTTAACCATAATTAAATGATATACTTTTGTTCACTTTAGCTTATTAGTTCTTAAGGTTAATTATTTAATTAATTAGGTATAAACATTCAATGCGGATAAACATTAATTAGGTATAAACATTCACAAGAATGAGAAGGACTATTTAGTGCTCACTTGGTTGCTTTGGAGATAAGAATTAATTAGAAAGTCAAATGAATAGAAAGAATTATTAGTATGTCACTTAGCTTATGTTTGAAACCAAATGGCAAAGCCAAAAACATCATCTCATAATTGACATTTATGGAGAATAATAATGGATCTGTTATTCAATTTCAACGGGTAAGGTTAAAAGGGAATCATACAAAGATCAAAAGCTAGTTACAGTGAATCACAAGTGGCTGCTTGTTAATTTCTATGTGACAATTTTTCCAAGAACTTTATATGTCAAATACATCAAGGAATTTGGATATTAATTTGTTACCATCATTTTTTGCGCTAACCTTTATTGACTATATCAAGACTTAAATGACACTAAAATTTTGTATTTCATTTCGCATTATGAATACAATGTTTGATATTTAATATAAAACTCTATATTACTATTAAATACTCCCTCCGTTCACTTTTATTTGGCACGTTTTAACTTTTCACGCCCCTTAAGAAATAATAAATGAAGTGCATAATTTACCATGATACCCACATTAATTGATGCATATTTTATTAGATTTGAGAAAATAATTTAAAATGAGTAATAAATACTGTGGGTATAACAGGAAAAAATTTTATCTTCTCCTGATATGCGTAAAGTGACAAGTAAAAATAAAAATCTTTTTTTAGTATACATGCCAAGTAAAAGTGAACGGAGAGAGTATTTGCTTACAATTTTTGTTTTCGTCATAACTAACACTTGCTTAATTATGCATAAATATTTTTATTTTATGCAAGGTAAAATATAAAATAAGGATACGTATTAATGATATTTGGATAAAAATACTTTAAAATGACAAAAACAATTTTAAGGTGCAACACGTTGTTTTAATAAATGAATGCCATTTTCTTTTCTTTTTTGAAAATAAGAATTGCGATAGTATATATACAACGACTAACTACACATGCATTTTCTTCATAAAAAGGTGATATCACCGAATAACTAAAACCTAAAGTTTGACCTTTTTAGTAGTATAATTATTAAGGAATATGATTCATTGATTCTTTTAATACTATTTGTTGATCCAACCTTGGGGGGGATATTTCATTATTAATGTTTATGTTTAAAAGCTCCATTAACTTAAAAACATGTAATTCAAGTGTTGAGGGCAGGAGATTAAGGGAATATTTTGTTAACGTAATGTCTATTTTGTCAAAGATAATTGATTTGCGAACATCAATTGGCAACTTTTGTTGAGCTCAGAATGATCCTCTCAAAAAAAGGTTAAAGTGTAACTTTCTTACACACACATACATTTAGTTCTAATTTTGACACACTTCTATTTGTGTGAAATAATTCGTATCTATTTTAAAACTATTTACTCTTACGTTCTTTTCGTAATGGAAATGACTTACTGAATACAAAAATAGTAGTACTACTTAGTATTAAAGGTACTTTCGCCATCACATCAAATTTATAATTTAAAAATCCTATCATTTGTAGATTCATGCCTTGTTAAATGTCACCACACAAATCCAGCATGGGCATTTATTTTATTTGTATCAAAATGTATGTCTTGATCAGTTCATAAAGTGTCAAGCTGACCAAATTTTCAAGTGGAATAGGAAATGTTAAAACAATGGACAGTAACAAACCTAGTCACGACCAATCAATCACTAATGGTACGATGTAATGTTAAAAAAATTTAACCTTTAAATAGAAAATTCTATTCGAGTGATGAGAATGGAACCTTCTTTGATACGGAATGCTAAAAACTCTATAGTGGACTTTATATAATTTGAATTCAAACTAGTTAAGGCAATAATTTTCATCCTCCGGTGATTAAAGAAATAAAAGAATACTTAGCCACACCCTAAATTTACACCAAACTACACTCTATAATCAATGATTAAGTATTAAATTGAAGTGAAAATGAACATTAATTAACTCTAATTAAATATATACAGAAAACACGTTGCTATTCTTATTAAGAAGATGTAAATATTGATGTGAATAAATTTTTATCCTAATAAAAACTTACCTATGATATTTACACGAGACCACGTTACATAACCAGTTAAAAGCACCTTCGCCTAGGGTGCAGATTTACCTTACTCAATTACCCAAACCGTGTCTAGAAAAACAAAACTCAAGTACCAAAAAAGAAGGGGACAAGAATGTAAAAGAAAAATTATAAAAGGGGAAAAGTGTAAATTAAGGAAAATGATGAGGACATCAAGAAATTCCACCGACCTTGATAAGGGGCGTGAAATTCGATGAGGATCCCATCGCGGACGGTGAATAACACGTGCCCCCTCCTACCAATCGCGTCACATCCTATTTTCTCTTTCTTTATTTGGAAATGAACTTTTTCCCCTCAAATTTTATACTCCACTATTTTATTCTTTCATCTTTGCTATAATTATTAATACTAATAACATAAGAGAAAATGGGTTGAAAAAATAAAATAAAAAAACCAATAAGAGAAACTGGAAAAATGTGGATGAAGATTTGATCTTTTTTGTAAGCTGCCTTGCATTCCCATGTACATAAATAATGGAGTAGATAAAATGATAAAGATTGGATGATGGGAAATCACTTTCTTTTTTTAAAATTATGTAAAACTTGAAATCTTTATCCACATTTTTTCTCTTGTGGTTATATATATATATATTTCCTATTTAGAGATCGGTATTATTTATTAGGATTTTTTTTAATTTTTAAAGGCTCGAACCCGGAACTCTTATTAAAGAACCTTCGAAAAAGAAGGATATGATCATTTATATCTCACTACAAACTTTGGTGGTATTATACAATTATACACTATTCTTTGATTTATCAAACTTTTTCTTTGGGTCAAATATCAAAAGATTTTATTCAACCAGTATAGTTAATTATAACTCCTCTAACTTTTGTGGACTATAGAGCTAGACTCAAGAAAATAAAACTACTATGTACATTTCAATAGTCCCTCTACTACTTCTACTATCTATTGACAACTAGTCATAGAGGAAAGCTATTCAATCCTTCTAAGAACTTCTTCCACTTAGCTTTCTGTTGTCCTTTCATATGAAGCTGGAGGACAATATCTCGAATTCTCTTGTTAGTATCAGTTTTTTGCCCCTGAAATCTTCACATATTTCTCTTTATCCATGTATGATAAACCATAGATGTAAATAGGAATGCCAATATGCTAGCTTGAGGCTTGCCATTGTTGTTTCTTTTTGTCGACCATACAACTTCCTCTATCCAATTTTCAATGAGATGTCTCTCTCCCATCCATTTAAGTAGCGTAGTCCAGATGGTTCTTGAGTATTGACATTCAAAGTAGAGATGAACATTGTTTCTACTTTTCTATTATTGCAAAGCACACATTCACTTGCTACAAGTATACACCAAGATGCCAACCTATCAACAATGGTAATCCTTTAGTGAAGTGCCATCCAAAAAATGAAAGTATGCCTAGGTATGGCATTTGAACCCATCAGTAAAGTTTTTCAATGGACCTTTGGGTACTGAGGAGTAGCTAATGTATATGTCTTCTTGATATTGAATTGCCCTGCCTGCAATATATGTTGATGTTGGCAAAAGAATCGATACTTAGGTACCATTGTCTTGTATCAAACACTTTCCTTACGAGCCAACATGCTTTCCTGGGAGTGTTAATTATAGCGAAATCATGTTTCTTTATATAAAAGTTGTGTATCCACCTTATCCAAAGTGTATCTTTATTTGGATGTACAACCCACATTAATTTGTAAAGAGTTGCTTTGTTCCATCATAAGAAGTTGATGACATTTAAGCCACCAGCTGAAGTAGGCATACATATTTTGTCCCATGCAATCAGTGCCCTTTTTGAGGGGTTATGACTGCTTGTCCATAAGAAGATCCTGTATGCAGTAGTCACTAACTGAATGATCTTTTTTGGCAGCAGAAATATCTGTCCCGAGTATGTTTGCATTTCAAATAGGACACTTTTTATCAACTGTAACCTTCCACTGTATGAGAGAAATTTAGTTGTCCAGCACTTGATTCTATTAATTATCTTCTCAACTAATGACATACATTGCTGCACTGTCAATCTTTTTTTATGAGAGGGGTACCCTCAAGTATTTGAATGGCAGTCCTTCGAGCTTGAAATGATAGTCAGAGATGATCATATCTTTAAACACTTACACTCGAGCTACATAAATAGATCTCTTGTTCAGATTTGCCATGAGCCCAGATACCTTCGAGAAATGATTAAACTTATCAAGCAATAGTTGGAGGGAAGTCTTGTCAGCCCAACAATACATTATCAAATCATCTGCAAAGCAGATATGTGTGAGATTCAGCTTTACACATCTTGGATAGAAGTAAGGTGAGGGATGTCCTTAGAGTCTTAAGGGTTCTATTAAGATACTCCATTACTAGAACAAACAGGTAAAAGGACATTGGATCCCCTTGTCCCAGTCCCTTCCCTGCTTGGAATCTACTAGTGAGGCCACCATTGATCATCAAAGAGTAGTTCACAGTAGTCACACATTCCATTATCCACTGAACTATTTTGCTAGGTATCCCATATTCCAGTAAGACCATACGTAAGAATGGCCAGTCAATTGAATCATATGCCTTCCTTATGTCCACTTTTATGATGCACCTAGAAGATACTCCTTTTTGAGTGTAACCCTTCACCAGCTCATGGATAATACTCACATTGTCTAAGTTGCTTCTCCCTTCTATGAATGCTGATTGTGCTGGTCCAACTATAAAATCCACCACTGCCTTCAATTTTGCTATAAGGATCTTAGCAATGAGCTTGTATAATGTGGTGCAACAGGCTATTGGTCGAAATTCTTTCAACAACAAGGGACATAAGGAAGCCACTCATTGACTTGACATTGACATTGACATTGACTTGTACTATTGTCTAACTCTTTAAAACGAGTTTTATTGGAGAGTAAAGTTTTTCTTGATAGTATTATATTTGCATTCCCATGTACATAAATAATATTTAGATAAGATGATAAAGATTGAATGGCAAAGGGTCAAATATACCCCTCTACTTTTGAAAATGGTCTAAGAATACCCCTCGTTATACTATTGGGTTATCTATACCCCTGCAGTCATACTTTGAGTTCAAATATACCCCTCATTTAAACAGAGGGACACGTGTCATCGTCCTGTTGGTCAATTCTAAATATCTCCTAATTAATTAAAAAGACCCATTACCCATACCCGAAAAATAATTTTTTTTTGTAAAAACTGGAAAAAACTGAAATTATTTTTACTAAAAACTGAAAAAATAATTTTTTTTTCCAGTTTTTACAAAAAAACAGCTTTAAAAAAACTGAAAAATATTTTCTAAAATAATATTTTTGAAAAAACTGAAAAAAAAACTGAAAAGCAATTTTCTAAAGATATTAAAAACTGAAAAAAAACTGAAATATTTTTAACTCAATTTTTACAAAAACATTGCTTTAGAAAATTACTTTTTAGTTTTTTTTCAGTTTTTACAAAAATATTGTTTTAGAAAATATTTTTCAGCTTTTTTGAAAGCAGTTTTTTTTTTGTAAAAACTGGAAAAAAAAAATTCGTTTTTTTCAATTTTTAGTAAAAACAAAATTAATTTTTTTTCCAGTTTTTACAAAAAATATTGCTTTACAAAATTGATTTTCAACTTTTTTTCCAGTTTTTACAAAAATATTGTTTTAGAAAATATTTTTCAGTTTTTTCTAAAGCAGTTTTTTTGTAAAAACTGAAAAAAAAATATTTTCGTTTTTTTTTCCAGTTTTTAGTGAAAATAATTTCAGTTTTTTCTAGTTTTTACAAAATATAATTGCTTTAAACATTACTTTTCGGGTATGGGTAATGAGTCTTTTTAATTAATTAGGAGATATTTAGAATTGACCAACAAGAGGATGACACGTGTCCCTCCGTTTAAATGAGGGGTATATTTGAACCCAAAGTATGACTGCAGGGGTATAGATAACCTAATAGTATAACGAGAGGTATTCTTAGACCATTTTCGAAAGTAGAGGAGTATATTTGGGCATTTGCCGAATATTGAATGATGGAAAACCACTTTCCTTTTTTAATTATGTAAACTTGAAATCTTCGTCCACATTTTCTCTCTCTATATATATACACATACATACCCCAATATAAAGACCGATCTCTAAATAGGAAAATATATATATATATATATATATTTTCCTATTTAGAGATCGGTCTTTATATTGGGGCCATGACTAGTTTCGAGCTAATTTGTGCTGCATAAGAAACGTTAAAGGAGAACGTATTATTTATTACGATTTTTTTCATTTTCAAGACTCTAATCATAAACTCTGATCAAGGCACCTCCGGAAAAAAAGGATGACAATATGATTATTCACATCTCACTATAAACCTTAGCGGTATACAGTTATACACTATTCTTTGATTTATTAAACTATTAAGGGTTTCAAACCTTAATCATTTTAGAAAGAAATATGCTTTCAGTTAGTTCATTTCAAGCTATAGTGCTTAGCACTATTAAATTGACATTGACTTGTACTATTGTCTAACTCCTTAAATCGAATTTTGTTGGAGAACGTAATAATGTTCATATTCATAGTATTATATTTGCTCACGTAAAGCGCCAATAATCTGAACTGAAACTTATTTATTTATTTATATATTTATTTATTTTTGGTTTCGTTTTCCTTCTAAAAGGTATCTCTATCTAAATTGATAGGACGTCACTCGTGTATTGCATGTCAATATTGTATACTTTAATTGGTTATAATATTGTGGATTAGGCTTTCATTTTCCTCTTGTGGTTAGCTAACTAATTACAAGCTAGGCCAATATTCTTTGACGGGATTAGGTCAAAATCTAGGTGATCTGTTATAATTAGTTAGTTTCGTATCTCAATAGTCAAAATTAAGCTATTGCATCGTGCAATAAAACGCCGTTAATGTTACCTAATGCACCAAATATGAAAGGAGATCCCAAGAAGTTGAGATTTTCCACGTGATTCTTATTTTAAAAATTCCTTAATTTTCTTTTCTATTCTCTTTTCACAATTTGCAAACCCTCCTTAATTACTTCTACTAATTTTGAGATTTTAATAAATAACTCACACAGAGATTTCATAAGGCAAGGGCCTCAACGGTGACTGGTGGTGGAATGGAGAGGTCCAAGGTAAAGTACAAGCCAAGAAAGCGGCGTATATGAAGCTAGTGGAGAACGCCGACGAGGAGGACGCTTAGGGAGTGTTACAAGAAGGCTAAGAAAGAGGCGAAGTTGGCGGTCCCAGCGACTAAGACCGCAATATTTGAATGCATGTAGGCGGAACTAGGGGGCAGAGGCAGTGACAAGAGACTGTTCAAATTAGCCAAGGTTCGAGAAAGGAAGGCTCGGGACCTGGACCAAGTGAGGTGCATCAAAGACGAGGATGACAAGGTATTGGTGGAAAAGGCGTGCATTAGGCACATGTGGCAGTAATACTTCCACAAACTCTTGAACGAGGATGGGGACAGGAACATTATGCTTGGCGAGTTGGAGAACTTAGAGAACCAACGTGATTTTAGGTTTTATAGGCGTATTAAGGTTGCAGAGGTTGAATAGGTATTGCGAAAGATGAGTAGAGGCAGTGCGACTGGGCCAGACGAGATACTAGTAGAATTATGGAAGGTTGTGGGACAGGTAGGTTTGGAATGGATTACTGGACTGTTTAATGTCATTTTTAGGACTAAGAAGATGCCCGAAGAATGAAGGTGGAGTTTGATGGTCCCGTTGTATAAGAACAAGGTTGATTATCCAAAATAATAACAACTACTTGTGTATTAAGCTACTGAGTCACACTATGAAAATGTGGAGAGGGTAGTAGAGAGGAAGGTGAGGAAGAGTGTGTCTATTTCGGAGAATCAATTTGGTTTTATGCCGGGGAGTTCGACCACATAAGCCATTTGTGAGGAGGTTGGTGAAGCAGTCCCCGGAGAGGAAGAGGGACCTGCATATGGTGTTCATCGATTTAGAAAAGGATTACGATAAAGTCCCAAGGGAGGTTCTATGAAGATGTCTGGAGGTTAGTGGTGTTCTGATAGACGCACATTAGGGTGATTAAGGATTACGATGGGGCAAAGACTCGGGTGAGGATTGTGAGAGGATACTCGGACTATTTTTCTGTGATGATGGGCTTATATTAGGGTTCATCTCTTAGCCCATTTTTATTTGCCCTGGCGATGGACGTGCCACATTCATGGGAGGTGTCCTGGTGTATATTATTTACAGATGACATAGTGTTTATCGATGAGACGCACTGCGGGGTTAACGATCGGTTGGAGCTGTGGAGGCAGACCCTGGAGTCTAAAGGTTTTAAGTTGAGTAGGACAAAAACTGATTACTTAGGGTGCAAGTTCAGTGTGGGGACTCATGAAGCAGAAGTGGAGGTGAAACTTGATACACAAGTCATCCCCAAGAGAGATAGTTTCAAATATCTTGGATCTGTTATTCAGGGGAACGAGGAGATTGACGAGGATGTTACGCATCGTGTTGGAGCGGGGTGGATGAAATGGAGGCTTGCGTCTGGTGTTTTGTATGATAGGAATGTGCCACGAAGACTTAAGGGCAAGTTCTACAAAGTGGTAGTGAGGTCGACTATGTTGTACGGAGCCGAGTGATAGCCAGTCAAGAAATCTCATGTCCAGAAGATGAAAGTAACAGAGATGAGGATATTTAGATGGATGTGTGGGCATACCAGAAAATACCGGATTAGGAATAAAGTTATTAGGGACAATGTGGGTGTGGCCCCTGTGGAAGATAAGTTACGGGAATCGATGCTGAGATGGTTCGGGGCATGTGAAAAGGAGAGACTTCGATGCTCCAATGAGGAGATGCGAGAGGTTGACCATAGCAGGGAAGATGAGAGGTAGAGGGAGGCCTAGAAAGTACTAGGGAGAGGTGATTAGGCAGGACATGGCACTACTTTAGCTTACCGAGGACATGACCCTCGATAGAGAGGTGTGGAGATTGAGGATTAGGGTTATGGATTGAAAGTTAGTCGAGAGTCTCTTCGTACTAGTAGTAGTGGTACTAATCCTGTATTCTCTTACTCCGAGTTCCTTGTTATTAGACGATATGACACTATTGCCGGTAGTTTTCGCACTTCTCTTGTAGCTTCTTATTCCTAATTTCTTTGCTATTACATGCTGTGCTATTTGTTTTTGTTATCTTATTTACTTGCTATTGATGTTTGTTTATTGCGTCCTTTTCATTGTTCTTGAGCCGAGAGTGTATCAGAAACAACCTCTCCTCCTTCATAAGGTAGGGGTAAGGTCAGCACACTACCCTCCCCAGACCCCACTATGTGAAATTGCACTGGGTTTGTTGTTGTTGTTGTACAGAGATTCTGAATTTGGAACATGGTATTTCTAAAAAAGAATGTCTGTATTACTGTGTTACTTGTACACTCATTGTTTTGCTAAAAGAAGAAAAAAACAAGACAATATAAATATTATTTTGTTATAAAATATAGCTCAAAGTAACAATATAGAAGAAGGAAAAACAAGCTAAGAGATATAGAGAGAAAGAGAGGAGAGATTCTTATTTCTTCTTCAATTATGTATATTTTCCTATCTATTACAAGGCCTTTATATAGGCATGAAAAGTGAAGAAAAATATGTCATTGAATATATCATTAAGCATAGAAATATGTCATTGAATATGTCATTAAGTATTTGAGAAGATCATGGAGGAAGAGTAGACATCCACCATAATTTAATTTTTCTTATAACACTCCCCCTTGGATGTCCATAGATAATGTGCCTGGTTAAAACTTTATTAGGAAAAAATTCTAGTGAAGGAAAAAGAGTACACATATTTAGAAATACGTCTTTTGGTTGCCTCATTAAAAACCTTGCAAGGAAAATCTAGTGGGACAAAACCTTGTAAGGGAAAAAGAGTACAACGCGTATTAACTCCCCCTGATGAGAGCATCAATTCACATCCTTGAGCCTTCGCCTCCCAATCTTGTACACTAGTTTCTTGAAGGTTGACGTCGGTAGAGATTTGGTGAACAATGATATCACCATTCTTTTGGACGGATCTGTTACACATTGATATCACCATTCTTTTGAATATCATGTGTGAAAAATAACTTTGGTGAAATATGCTTTGTCCTATCCCCTTTTATGAATCCTCCCTTCAATTGGGCATGCTGCATTGTCTTCATACAAAATTATGGGTAGTTTGTCACACTTCAAACCACATTTGTCTTGAATAAGGTGTATTATAGACCTCAACTATACAGATTCTTGACTTGCTTCATGAATAGAAATTATCTCAACATGATTAGATGAAGTAGCCATAATTGATTGTTTAGTCGATCGCCAAGATATGACAGTGCCTCCATATGTAAACACATAGCATGTTTGAGATCGAGCCTTATGTGGGTCATATAAATACCCAGCATCGACATAACCAACAAGATCGGGACTGCAATCATTGCCATAAAATAATCCCATATCGATAGTCCCTTTTAGATACCGCAATATGTGTTTGATTCCATTCCAAAGCCTCCTTGTAGGAGCAAAGCTATATCTTGTTAAGACATTAACTGAAAAAGTTATGTCAGACCTTGTAATGTTAGAAAGATACATTAGTACACTAATTTCACTAAGATATGGTACTTCGGGACCAAGAAGCTCTTCATTATTTTCATGAGGTCGGAATGGATCTTTATTTATATCGAGTGATCTAACAACTATCGGAGTAGTCAATGGATGTGCTTTATCCATATAGAATCGCTTTAAAATCTTTTTAGTGTATGCTGATTGATGGACGAAAATTCTATCTTTCATATACTCAATTTGTAAACCAAGACAAAATTTTGTCTTTCCAAGATTTTTTATTTCAAATTCTTTTTTTAAATAGTTTACTGCTTTAGGAAGCTCCCTAGGAGTTCCAATGATATTTAAATCATCAACGATTATAACAAATTTAGATCCAGATTTTTTTATAACGACACAAGGACAAATTGAATTATTCTTGTACCCTTCTTTTAACAGGTACTCACTCAGGTGATTATACCACATGCGTCCTGATTGTTTCAATCTGTATAAGGATTTTTGAAGCTTTATTTAATAATATTTTTTGGAAACCTTAATATGCTTCAGAACAATTTAAATCCTTCAATGATTTTCATTATACGCATATCACATTTTTTTTGTATTGGCAGATTAAAACCTGAAATGACGACAATCACCACTGGAGAACATGTCTCTATATAATCAATGCCAGGATATTTACAAATCTTCTTGTGACACAAGTCGTCTTTATGTCTATCGATTTGACCTTTTTTTTTCCATACAAGAACATATTTATACCTCCACTGGATTTATACTTTCAGGTGTTGGGACTATATGTCCAACTTCATATTTTTCAGTTGAAATCAATTTTCGTTGCGTATTTTTCATTTGGCCAATCATTTATCTGTCCAAATTTCATGACAGATTTGAGATCAAGATCCTCGTCAATATTAATAATATTGAGCGCTACATTATATAAACAATATCGTCGACGATCATTTAAATCGGTTCTACTATTACCCAATAAAGACATAACTTATTGAGATCTCTTTATCTTATTATTTTCAGGTACCTCAGCCTCTCCCATGAGGTCTTATAAAGTGTTATGTCGTGGTGCTCTTCTAGAGCACTTGCCTCCTTATTATGACCATCTTGAACATTTGCTTCTCTCTTTCTTCAAGGAGTTTTATCTTTGGAACCGATTAGTCTATTACGCTTCATGCATGCCATAGACTCTATTCATTATGAACTTTATTTTATTTGGAGCATTAGCAGCCGAATATGACATTTAGCTTTGGGTCAATAAATAAGCCTGGCAATATTTTGCAAATGAATTATCACTTGAATTTCAAGTTCACTTTTTCTCGTACGAGGATATAGATGCACTCATAATAATTCATTACATGCATTACTTTTTCAGCTGCCCATTTTCTCCCCCTATTGTTGAGATCACCAATACATATCTCTAGCCTTATTTGGGGATCCATCTTTGTGCATTGTGGTGGAATAATTAAATCATATAGCACATTCATATTTTTAGATGGAAATTATTTGGTTCCTAACCCTGAACCAATTGTGATAGGGAGAACTTATCATAACTTGGCTAGATGTGTACAAGTACTGTTGTATATTAAATAATACATCACATACCAAATTTTATTTTGGTAGTTTTATTCTCATAACCAATGGTTTAGATATAATTGGAGGCATATAATTTCTGCTAAACCGACTTTGATTTAAACCAGTATTATCAAGATAAATCATCATAATTTATATTCTGGAACTGTGCTCTAATAATTTGAGCAATCAATCTTGCAAAAGCCAAACTGCAAGTTGATAACAAATGCACATATGACCATAGAATAGATGCATCTATTAAAATCATATAATAATAAACGATCCACATGGCAGGTGACTGGGCCCATATATTTATCACCTTTTATTTGTTTGAGAAATCAATGGATTCAATCTCAACCTTAACTGGTATATCATGAGACTAAGCACTAAGCAGCACAAGAGAATTCTTGAAGAATCTTTTATTTCTTCAATATATGCCAATATAATTCTCAATTAATTTTTCGCATCATAATTGAACCGGGATGGTCAACCGGTCATGCCAACTAATATTTGTTTCAGTAAACCTCTAGTTTACTTGTGACATTATTATTCCATCATCATGCTTATATTTGTGTAGTACAAATAGAAAAAAAATCGGGTAACCTTTCATATTTACCCATTATGATTAAAGAAATATGAAGATATTCAATATTCCTTTCATTTATAGTCTCAATATGCCAACCACTTTGACTTATATATTAAAAACTCAAAAAGTTTTTTTTGAGACTTTACAATATCAATGTCGTGAATAATTTTATTCATTCGGGTAGTAACAAATTAATTTTTTCGGAGCTCTTAACAACTTTTGTACTACAAGAACTTTTGTTACACCATTTATATGATAAATGTCTCCTTCACAAAGAAAATTATATCATAATAAATTGTCAAAGTCAAAATCATCATAAGCAAAATCATTCCTTACTTTAATTTTGCCTTTAATAAACTTTTATAAGGCACACAATTTTTTTGGCGTATCACATGTACGCGACCAATGACATATTTACATAACCACACAATAATATTTATTCTCTTTATTTCACTTAAACCTCCTTTAGAGGTGAGTTGTGTGGTATTCATCTAATCATGCATTACATGTCTTTATTCATTACTTTTATCACATATTATCACATTCACCTTGAGGAACGGGTCTGCATTCTCAATGCTTATCACAAGTCACATTCTCTTCAAGGAATGGATCATAATCAGCGGCGTGCTTTATTATTTTTCATACCAATTTGATGGTAAACATTGCCTTCACATTTTTAAGGACTATTTTGAGAACCCTTATTGTTCTCCTTTTATAATCATAGTGATGAATATTATTATTTTGATCTTTGGAACGCCCACGTTCATTGTTCAACCACTTGTCTTCATTTAGACTTATTATGCGCCGCTACCACATTCACTTCAAGAATGGAGCAAATCAAGTGGGACAATATTCATGCCTTTTCATGAAAAATATATTATTTTTCTTTAGTTATCATTATATCATCAATATGGTATAGTGGGACTCAAACCCAATGTCTTACCAATATAAAGGCATGTTAGACCATAATGAATTGGGACTCAAACCCAACTCTTAACATCATGGAGCATCAGGACTTGATCCTGATGTCTTACCTCATGGTGCATTGCGACTTGAACTCATTGAACTTGATATCATTAATAGTAAAGGACAAAAATAATTTCAAATACGAAGGAAATGCTTATCTCTTGAGTTAAACTCTTCATAATGTCATTTGGATATACTTCTCAACAATAGACTTTCGTTTACTCAAATCAGCTAAGTAATTAGTGTCCAACAGATATATGAAAATACAAAATAATATTAAAAATTCACATGCGGTCTTTGCTGCAATAAGCTTACTTCAAGATGAAAGTGATATGACCAGAACATTAAGAAAAAATTATGTATCAAACAGAATAATAGTACTACTAGTTACCATGCACTTTTATGGAAACTAAGTATTATGCTCTCTAGAAAAATAAAAGGATATAACAGAATNAATACTAATTTTCTAATAACCAGACAATTGCTTATTCTAAATAGTGGTACAAACTTATCTCGTTTAAAGCTTGGACTTGTGGCTGTAGCAGAAAGACGTGTTTGTAACACTACATACCTTTCTGAATAAAATCTGGATAATTTTGACAATAGATCATCGAGATATACCTTACCAGAAGTGGAATTCAACCTTGAGGTTAGAGACTCGTGCTGATAATGTGTTATAAAATATAGCTCAAAGTAACAATATAGAACAAAAAAAAACAAGCTAAGAGATACAGAGAGAAAAAGATGAGAGATTCTTATTTCTTCTTTAATTGTGTGTATTTTCCTATCTATTACAAGACCTTTATATAGGCATGAAAAGTGAAGAAAAATATGTTATTGAATATGTCATTAAGCATAGAAATATGTCATTGAATATGTCATTAAGCATTTGAGAAGATCATGGAGGAAGAGTAGACATCCACCATAATTTAATTTTTGTTATAACATATTTGAGATTATTTTCAGTATTTCAGATTATTTTCAATTTATTTGTGATTATTAAGTAAAAAGCATTTCCAGATTAATTGAAGAAGTAGGATAATCTCAATAGTCAATACATTGCCTACATAAGACTATTCAAGGTTCTATTCAACCTAAAAAGTTTTTATCAAATACCTAAAAACATGAACTTCATATAAAAATTACAAAATTATCATGTTTTTTAATTTTTTAGTTAAGTTATAAATCTGCAAGTAACTCAGTATGCGGGAGATTAAAAAAAATTATAATAGAATAACTACAATTCCAAGACCCAATAAAGATATGAATTCTAAATCTAAACTTACAAGTTACAACCGCAAAATCTTAATTTTGTTTGTGATTCAACAAGCAGGTTTATTTTTTCAGTTTTCAACGTTTTGTTTTTCACTACAGCATTTAAACCTTTGCGTTAGCGGTTAAAAGTTAAAAAGTTCATACATTATCTTCCTCAATCCTCAAGATATATATATATCATTGGCATGCATGAAAGTAATAGTTTTATAATTATTAGGGAGAAAGAGTAGCGTATAAGTAACAAGTGATCCCATTACATGTTAAACTTCTTAATTTGGATTATTATTAAATTTGGGAAGAGAATCATTATTAGTGTCAAAGTATGGCAATGTAGGTTCATTTTGAGAAGAGAATCATTATCACAATATCACTGTTAACACTTTTTTATTTGTTAGAAAAAATAAATAGAAGGGGATGAAGTTGAATTATACATTATAACAAGGTTACCTAAAAAGTTCATTATTCTAGTTTTCAAATCTTGAAATATATACATTTATTTCCAAAAGAAAAAGAAATGCGCGCTTAGATTAAGTAGAGTGCTATAGGCAGCAATACGAAAGTCACGTTCAATTTTAAAGATTATTTGTATGATTGTATCATTGTTCCCACTTGCTCGATCTTTTTATAATTTCCAATTTACAAAGTAAAAATTTACCATTAGAAAACAAAATAACGGCCAACTAAAAGAATTCTCTTTTAAAGTTTATATTAATGAGTATCGAAAGAAACTATAGTCTCTGTTATCTCATTTTATACGATACGATAATTGTACATATATATGTTATAGAAAAGAAAATACATAAGACCTAAATTTTTCTTAAAATTTGCCAAAATTGCCCTCACCTACTGATAATTAAGAGAGAGAAAAAACAGCGTTGTGTAACATTAGTTAGCAAATCCTAACATTTTATGTCCCATTGTACCCCAAAATCTGAAGAAATTACTAAAGAACTGATACTTTGTTGAAATTCCATTGACCGTTGACTAAACTAGGTCTAAACTAGGCTGTTTGTCTTCTTATTCAATTTACGACTTATTTTATCACAAAAATTGATCACAAGATATTAAAAAGATTTTTCCTTTTTTTTTATTTACAAAACTTCTCCGAAAATGTGACTAAATAATTAAGGAAATTGTTTCATATTTTGAGGTAGAAACAACGATCTTACTTCTAAATAGTACTTATGATAGTGGATAATGATGTACTTTTACCTCTTAGATAATGAAAAAGTAATTCTCCATGCGTTTCAATTTAGACGAGATAGTTTGACTCGACACGAAGTTTAAGAATTTTTTTTTTTTGAAACTTGTGGTCTTAAAAGCTTAAGGGGTAAAAACTTTATAGGATCATGACATTTGTGTGGTTATAAAAACTTCTCATTAAGGGTGAAATGAGTAAAATGAAGAATTTAAAGTTGAATTATTTTCAATTGTAGAAATATATCATTCTTTTTTATACGGATTAATAAGTAAGTATGTCATCTAAATTGAAACAGAGGGAGTACTAAATACTAGTCAAAAGAGATCTCATTCCATGTATATATTTGACATCTTTTCCCAATTACACCTAAGTAATTGGTATGCCAAAATTCGGAAGTATATTTGTGTGTTCCTTTAGATAAGACGATAAATGTGTTATTAGTATGTTTTCAATGTTTAGGAGGTCGTGAGAAGTTTACAATTCAATTAGCTCGACTAAATTTGAACTGGTTATATTTAGTGAATGAAAATTAAAATCCTAAATTTCCCCTAATACTTTTGTTCTGCCTCTTAATATTAATCCAGCTGCACAACGACTCTGATATCATGTTATAATAATCCATTTGGTACGTGCATAGTCTTGTACTAATTAATCTAATTGGCCTCACGAATTTATCTTTAAACTCATTAATTGTTGAGTCCACTTCTCTGTTATGTTGAATAATCACTACAAATTTGAGTCCAACACATTTTAACAAATTGTGCATAATTTCTAGCACAATAAAGTAAATAAAAACGCATTTTTAGACAAGATTTTAGGACATTTACTAGAAAATATGGAAATGACAGTTAATATGCTTCAGCATTACATGATCCATTGATGAATTTCACGCAATAATTAAAGTTGAATATAATTAAAATTTATTTTGAAACTATGGTACTCAATAATTGTTCAAATCTTTCCTAAATATGTGCAAGTACTGAAATACTAGGATATATTAATCACAAAGTATGATAAGTTGTATTTATCATAAAAGATTATTCATAATTGTATAATTTAACTTAGCTGTAAATTGCATCCTCGCCATTTCACTCGGGAAAAAAGACATGATCCACAAATCAATTGACTAGAAAGAACAATATGAACATTTTCCACTACATAATTTGGAACAAAAAAAAAACATGCATAAAACGGGAAGTTTTTCTTTTAATCACGCGGTAATTGTTGGGAAATGATTATTGTACTTTAAGAAACAAAACAGAAAGTACATTGCAGCGAAAATGAAATTATGAAAAACTTCAAAGGTCTATTTGCAAATAAGAAAGTTATGTCGGTAAATTTCACGCGTCAACTACATAAACGGCTGATACTCAGAAAGGAAACAGAGAACTTACGTGTAAGAAAGCGACTGGAAATAGTCACAAAAAATCTTAACATAAATTATTTTATAACAGCTGTATAATATACCATTTTATGTTCATAAATGAATGGTCAATTGGTCGAGACACGAAAGCAACAGTATAATAATTTAAAGTTAAATTACAGTTAGTATTTGATGCTAGTCCATCTACTTCAACTTTGCTAAATAAATTATTTAATAACATGTACTTGCAAGTTTAACAAATTTAGATGCCTTTAGTTAGATCAGACAACACATATAAAATAATGATATATTTTTCGTTTGAATTTATATGAGCCAAGAAGATAGGTGTAACTTATGGTCTTGAATATGTGTTGCAATAAGCTTCCGCTATGCGTAAGATCTCGAGAAGAACCGAATCACAAGTATCTGTTTTACAAGTCTTATCATGCATTTTTACAAGAGGTTGTTTTTACGACTCGAACCTGTGATTTCGTGATCACATAACAATAATTTTACCGCCAAAGCTCCCCTTCATCTTGAATATGTAATACTAGTATTTAACTTTTTTTAAGAGTATAATTAAAAGTTTAAAATTAAATTATTTTTAAATATAAAAGTATATTTTCCTTTTAAATAGGGCTTAATAAGGAAATAATATATAGTACTAACAATTAAAAAGGAAAATGAGAAATAAAGGAAGTTTTTGCATGTAGTATAAATAAGGATACATATGCATCATTAAAGAGCCGTCGTGGCTGAGATTTAGCTAGGCTGGCAAAGGGGGAAATGGCCATCCTCTTCAACTTCCTCAAGCCTCTTCTTCTCCTCCTCCTTACTCTTTCAGGTCACTTCCTTTTTCTCTTTTTCTAACTCTTTTTAGTAACCCTTTTTTTGTACAAATCTTGTTTGTCCTTTTCATCAACTAGTTTGTTTTTATGCTATTTTGGTTCTTGGGTGAGGTAGTTTGGTGGGGTTATCTGGGGGGTGGGGAGTTGGGACTGCCATTTTGGTTATAAAGATTCAGTCTTTTTAAGTTGGTTTCTTGTTTACTTGGTCGGAATTGTAGTATTGCTTGGCCTTTAATGTGAATATGAATTCTTGCTCAAGTGTTTGTCACCAGATTTATGGATTCTTGGTCCTAAGGAATAGNGGGTTAGAACTGCCGTTGGTTATAAAGATTCAGTCTTTTTAAGTTGGTTTCTTGTTTACTTGGTGGGAATTGTAGTATTGCTTGGTGAATATGAAGTTCTTGCTAAGTGTTTATCACCAGATTTAGTGAAGGTGGATTCTTGGTCCTAAGGAATAGGGAATATGTGTGTCTTTATTGGATTATTCTGTTCATTTATTCAAGAGATAATTGAAGTTATCAGCAGAACATGGTTTTAGTCATTTGATTAAAAAAACAGAGTTTTTGCTCTGATTTTCTTGGTGAAGTATAGGTGGATATGTGCAGTAGTTAATTCCTATTAGTAGTTAGTAGTTTTTTACTAATTGTTAAATGAATGTGTACATATTTTGTTTTCCTCATCTTTTCCCCCTACAAGGTATTTACTTTTAATTCAACTGTTTGATCAGATTTATTTGCCAGTACCCTCAGCCTTGGAATTGGAATTAACTATGGCCAAATTGCCAATAATCTGCCAACACCATCGCGAGTTTCCTATCTCCTTAGATCTCTCAATGTTACGAGAGTTAAACTTTATGACGCTGATCCAAACGTGTTAAGTGCGTTCGCTAATACGGATGTGGAATTTGTTATTGGACTTGGGAATGAGTACCTAGAAAGAATGACTGATCCCCAACAAGCTCAGGCTTGGATTCAATCGCATGTTCAACCTTACCATACTCAGACTAAAATCACTTGTATTACTGTTGGGAACGAGATCTTAACGGGGAACGATACACAGATGATGAATAACCTCCTCCCGGCAATGCAAGGTGTATATCGGGCTCTTGTTAATCTTGGCCTTAGCAATGATATATATGTGGCACACGCCCACTCGGCTGGGATCTTGGGCAACTCTTTTCCGCCTTCCTCTGGTTCATTTCGACAAGATCTTGCTGAATACATTCATGGCATTCTCAATTTCCATACCCAGACTAAGTCGCCGTTCCTTATAAATGCCTATCCATTCTTTGCATACAAAGACAGCCCCGATCAAGTCCCGCTTGATTATGTACTTTTCCGGCCTAATGCTGGTACGATTGACCCAATCACAAATTTAAAGTATGACAACATGTTGTATGCACAAATTGATGCAGTTCATTCAGCGATTAAGGCAATGGGCTACTCAGACATTCAAGTTAAGGTTTCTGAGACAGGTTGGCCATCGAAGGGCGACCCAAATGAGTTTGGAGCAACACCTGAAAATGCAGCGCAATATAATGGTAACTTGTTTCGGCGTATACAGCAAAATCAAGGAACTCCAGCAAAGCCATCTGAGCCCATTGATATTTATGTGTTTGCGCTCTTTAATGAGAATTTAAAGCCCGGTCCAGCATCAGAGAGGAATTATGGCCTCTACTATCCCGATGGAACTCCAGTTTATAACATCGGGTTACAAGGATTTCTTCCGCGTATGGATTATTCAGCTGCCAAGAAAAACGTAAGGAATATGTTATTTCTGTCTTGCTTCATATGACGCAACAACAATAACAACAACCCAGTATAATCCCACTAGTGGGGTCTGGGGAGAGTAGTGTGTACGCAGACCTTACCCCTACCCGGGGTAGAGAGGCTGTTTCCAAAATGACCCTCGGCATCCTTCCCTCCAAGAACTCCCCACCTTACTCTTAGGGTGACTCGAACTCACAACCTCTTGGTTGGAAGTGGAGGGTGCTTACCATCAGAGCAACTCACCTTGCTTCATATGATGCGTATTACATTATTTTCATTAAGTCCTCTTAATTACAGCGTAGTTGTGGTTATTTCAAGACTTGTTTTCATTATTTTTCTGAAATGTTGAATCTTGCAAATTATATATACTCTTCTAATGCTATCCTTTTTTTTTTTGTTTTGTTTCAGGCCTTGCCTATTTCTGCTTTTCTTCTGCTTGTTCTGGTTTTCTTCATACACTTCTGAAAGCTGTACAATAGATCAAATATGGAGATACCAGTAGATTAGAGATGATTCAATTTTGTCAAGAACTTTTGCTGATAGATAGATATTAAAAGGTAAGAAAGACTGCCAACCTCATTTTTCTCCTTATTCATATGCTTTCATTATTCCCTTAATTTTCTTAAATCAGTTTGAATTACTATATATGATGCTGCTTCAAAGTTGTTTTCATTAATTTGCAATTTGTAAGCTGAAATACCACCTTATAATGTTCTAGCAATAGTCAACTGTTAATCACAGTTGATCATGAAGAAACGGTAAAGTTGTCTCCGTGTGACATATAGGTCACGGGTTCGAGCCGTGGAAGCAGCCACTAATGCTTGAATTAGAGTGGGTTGTCTACATCACGCCCCTTCTTGAGGTGCGGCTCTTCCTTGGACCCTGCGTGAACGCGAGATACCTTGTGCACTGGGCTGCCCAGTCAATTGCTAATCACCTACTTTCTAGGATACCTTTCATTGTATCATTTCTTTATTGAAGATATGGTAATGTGTCTCATCACCCTTATCTTATTTCCACTAGCAATCATGCATATGAATATCATTTTTACAAACTTCCCATCATCTTCTTGAAGACAAAAGTCCATATTGGCTTGTGTTGGAAAAGAAAGCCACCCTCTCTCTATCACCAAATTCTGAATTATTTTTCACGTTGAATATAATTGCCAAGTGGAAAGGCTCATTAGTTTTTGTATTTACTGGTGAATCCTATATCTGATTATGACATCTTGTTTCTTTCTTTTTTATCATTATTTTCAAATAGAGTATTTGTTGCATCAATCTGATGTGGAGCAGTCAATATTGGCGTCACCTATCATCCTCGAGTCAATTCTAAGTTCCCTCTTCTTTAACTTCCACCACCTTCTTGTGTGTGTGCTTAATCGCTTTCCTTATTTATTTATTTCTTTTTCTTGTAGGTCGGGTGGGGGGTTGGCATAAAAGGGAAAAAATCTCCCTTTAGATAGTATTTATTTTGGTTTCCTTGCAGATAAAAGTATGTGCTTATAAGGAACTGATCTGGCATGATGGAAAATTTTGGTTGGCAAATTCTTGAAAAGGTGTAACACAGAGTAGGATTCTTTTAGCAGCAAAGTTGGCTGTGTGACTTTAAACATGATGGAGCCCATTTGAAACCTTTTCTTACATCAGCAATGGCTTGATATGAGTAGATAAACTTGACAAATGGAAGAATCCACTTTGACATTTTCCACATACTGCCTTGGCTATATTCCCACTGAATTTGATTCTTTAGTTGTTATATGACAAACCTTCACCACATCTAGTTAGTTTCAGAAACTTGTGGCACTTTATACCCTCTTTGCTACAAAGCTTTCTCTCGCTCACTGCCCTTTACTACTGGACATGTATCTATCGACCGGCCCTTGGTTGTGCTTAGAGGCAGAGCCAGGATTTGAAATTTATGGGTTCGGAATTCAGAGCTAGCTCCGCCCCTTGTTGTGCTACCGGACATGCAGGCACGTGTCATGATCTTGTTATAGAACTTGACATAGAGACCCCGATTCGGGCAAGAACAGCTTGATTATGAAGGTCCTATAACTTTTGTGTTTTCCGTTGATACAAATATTTCTGTCTTTGGATATCTTTAGACCTGCCTAGGTTCCATCTGGGGCGGGAGATACCCTGCGTTTAACAGACGTGTAGTGAACTAGTGATCACGACATGAAACAGCTTCGAAACGGACATGTTCGATGCGTTTAATTTTGTGATAATACAGTCATGGCTGTCTTTGACAACAACTAATTTTCAAATTTGGCTGTGAAACATGGCTGCTGAAATGTATGTTATTATACTCTTCGGCAGATGGTGATGGTTTCTTAGTCTTGATTCAGTTAATGTAATGTGTATATTAATTGGATTTTGCGTGCACAGGTAGTCGAAGACGGCGCAGCTTCCATTTTCTATTTCACACTGCTAACTTGGCTGGGGAATTGCTTATTGGACTTGAAGTCATGATCAATATACATTACATTCATACCAAAAAAAATTCATAGATAAAAAACTCAAAAAATTGTGTAACTACTTTTTATTAGTTGAATAGTTGATTCGTTTACAAATTGAATAAGAACAGAAAAGTTTCTCTGGCAATAGTTGTCATCCCATTTTATTAGAATTATTATAATAAGGGAACTATAATTGTGCTGACACATGATATATGTCATGGGCTGCTTTCCATCATCGACCCATGACCCCTTGGACGCGCCCCGTGGCGTCCC